AAAAGCCTTCTTGCCAGTGTAAATACCTTCACAAAGTCGTTTCTGCTGTTCTTCCCACAGTGGTGTAATTTGCAAGTCTTGAGCTCGTCTGTAGGAGATTTAGTTTTCTGCTATGGGAGAATTCAGGCCTCTAAGAGAGGTTTCTGTCTCCTTCCTTCAAGCAATTTTTACAACTTTGTCTGCTATTTTTCTTGCTTTCCTGATACCTACACATTTCACCCATGTTTGGGGCTCTCTTATGGGCTGTGTGTATGTTGCATTGGTAAGGACTTTATAGAAACACTGTTCAAGATTTTTATTCTGCTAGGAGGAAAAAGAGTGAAAAAAAACCTAAAAAGAAATTGTGATATAGTTGGAAGAAATACTCTTCAAAAATGTCACTATTAATCTAGTAGTCCCAGCAAAATTGTAATTTTTCTCAAGATTCTTATTTCTTACTGTTTCCTCTACTCTTTTAAAGTAGTGGAGAGTCTTCTCTCTATTCCCTTCAAATTAAATGAACTCCTTTGCTTTGTGTCTTTCTTTGCCTTCATACACAGGGCAGTCTGTCATGTCCTGTTCCACTGATTATCTGCTAAGACAGAGTTTTCTTTCCAGAGGATTGGCAAAGTCCTATGAAATGTGTGAGTAGCTAGAGAAAGACATCTAGGGGCAGTGTGAGAAAGCCAAGACACTTTTAGAAAGGTCAACAAAAATACCATCTCCTCGTTTGCTGATATAAGTAGATTTTTGTTTCAAATCCAATCTTAGCCTGGTGTTTCTGTGTGCCTTTGATGAGCCTCTTAAGTCTGAGTATCATTTACTCTAAGGATTTATAATCCTTCTGTAAGATGAAGGATTTTATAGGTGAGACAGAGGCAGAGAGACTGCAGACAACAAATTAGTTATAGAAACAAGGAAAGAGCTGAGGAGCCTCTCTCCTGCATTTACCTGGGGTTTTCCTATATAACAAGTCCTTGAGCCTCAGGAACCCCCTGATTCTCCCCACTATCCATAAAAATGCTGCTCCAAAACAAATGACACAGCATAGTTCATAATACTCCCACATTTTGTTTTTTGGGGGTTTTCTTGGTGCGTTTTTTTAAAATTTTTTGATACCTCAGCTCTGTTTCTAGTAAAGCAAATTGTTCACGTTTTGGTGGAACAAACGTGTTCTCAGAGAAACTCCACAAAATTATTTTTAAAATTGCTCAGCCATAGCAATGATGAATTTTCTTCCTTCATCATTTGATCCAGACAATTCTCCCTGCATGTCATGGCTCATGGAGGCAGGAATTTTGCAGCTACCCATGAAGTTCTCTGCAGGCCCTCTATCCTCTTTGGGCTTCCTCCTCCTTTTTTTTTTTTTGCCTTCCAGGAAAAAATAAATTTAGCAGTCCCCTAGATTACTCTGATTCAGCATCTCCAATTTTAAAATCAATTAAATATCAAAGTGAACCACAACGTCTCTCCATCTTTGAGCTCAGGTGACAGCACCCTAAATTCTGGGCAGTGCCAGTAGCTGCTGGGGGGATTTGCTGAGATGCAGAATTGCTGTTATTGCAATTTACTGGGGCTGGGGAGAGCAGCAAATCCCTGCTGAATTCCCTGAAAATGATGGTGTCAAGCCCTGCAGTTCCTGAGGTTCACAGGAGTCCAAAATTCATGAGAAGATTGTGACTCCAGTAGTGCCCTGCCCCAGCCAAACATTTTGAGGTCTTCTAACATCACACAGAGCTTGCTTATGTTTTGCAAGTTGTTTTCTATTTAAGAGCAGTAAACATCAACGAATTTTGGTGAAATCCATGTGGGAACCCAGTCCCCTTCCTCAGTGCTTATTTAACTATCTAAAGACTAGTTTAATGCTGAATTCTTCATGTATTTAATATCTTAGAAAACAACTGTATGTATTTTTTAGAATGTGCAGTTCCAGCCTGTTTCTACACGGAGTTCTTTCATCTAATTCTGTTGAAAATGTGAGATGGCTGCAATTTGCTCTTAATGAAGATGGATGTGGAAACCCATCCACCTTGATAATGCCAGGTAGGAATTTACCTTGAGGAATTTAGCACCTTTTGGAAAAGCAAACAAAAAGCCCATGGCAAGATGGTGGCAGTGACTTGCCAGTTAAACAGAAATATTGGGCAAGTCAAGGTTAACACTCCCCAGAAAATGACCTTTGCTGAGATTGTTGCCCTTTGGCTGAGAAGAGTTAAATAAAAAGCAGAGATGTAATTCTGTGAAGATGCAGCTGTCCCACCAGTGCTTGCACAGATCCAACCTCTGCACAAAAGTGGCAGAGCTGCAAAGCCCTGACTCAGTTTTCCAAAGCTTGCAGGGTTCAGTGATGTTCCTCCCGCCAGAAAATGTTATTTTGTGCTTGGTAATTTGGCCCCTGGTAGTACAGCATTTTATCCAGGTGCTGCTAAAAATAAGGCCCTTCATTTTCTTCTGGCAGGTTAGAATAGTAAGGAATATTTATAGGGTGTGTTTTTTCCCTTCCAGTTAAGAATGTGCCACCCTTGAATAAGAAGAGGAATTTATTTTTTTTTTTTAAATACGATGCTTAGTTTAGGTTAATGTTGAATTTCCATCAGGCCTTGAACAGCTTGGTGAAAGCTTTCCTAAAAATAGGATTTATCTGGGGATTGCTTGCATCAGAGGGCTAATGGGTGGTTGAAAACTTGACATAAGAAATAAACTGCAAGTTTGATGTTTTTGTCACAGCCCCAGTGATTTTTGGCAAAAGCTCCCATTGCTTAGTAGCTGGATGGTTTGCATCTGTTTTACTCCTGTCCTTTTAGAATAACTTGACAAAGCTGCTTATTTCTCCCTGCAGAGGAAATGATTCTCACTGACACAACTTTAATTTTTTATGTTGATTGAGCGTGTAGATATTCCACTTTCCACAGAACTGCCAGCCCCTGACTGCTGAGAAGAAATGAATCTATTCTGCTAAAACTTCTCAGTGAATTCAGATGTTTACAGGTAACTGGACACCAAATCACTGCAGGATGACGATGCTTAAAGACAGGAATGCATTTTTTCAGGCACTGGTTTTCAAAGCTTTTCAAAGTACAGTTTCTTTCTGATTGATTTCTGAAGGCCTAAATAGTGATTATGATTTCAAGATAATTTTTCATCTCTAACACTTCAGATGTTAAAACCTTTTTTTGAATCCCATTGTGATCTGTAGTTCGACAAAATAATCTTTTACAAAACAATCTCTTGGTGAGCAGCTTCTACCAGAGATTACTGTGATTAAGAAATAACTCCTTGACAATAGTTTATCAGTTTTTGAATTTCTCAAACCTTTTCCTTGGAGCAACCTCAGAGCATTACAACGACTGTAGTACATAATTTAAGCTATTATTCTCTAAACTGAATGGGGATGTAGAATTCAGTAAGTCAGGAGAGATTTAATTTTTTAGTTTATTGAGATAAGACTGTTGCCTGCACGAAAGCTTTCCGTGCTGCAAAGAGAAGACAATTAGATTCCTGAGGGGCATGGTAATGTGCAATTGTATTAATTTGTAAAGCAGAAACAAATGTCAAGCCTTGTGCAGCAAAAAGGGCCTGGGACCTTCATAATGGGGCAAGAAATAATAAACCCTGTAGCTTGCTAATAGCTTCATTTGTGTCCTTAAACCAGGCAAAAAGGATGATTTTGCATGCAGTGGCCCTGTAAGAAATTGATGAACTTGGACTACTCCGATAGAGAAGACTTTGTACACCTCGTGTAAAATTCTTAGAAGGATGAACTAGTGATGGAAACGTGAAGTACTAACAGGAATAATACTAAAGGAACATTCTATTGAGCATTCCAGTGTGCAGCACAGGGCAGGTGACACATAATTCACTGAGGAATATATTGATAGTAGCAGATAAAAGAATGTATTTGAGTTCAGGTTGTGCTCAGATTTATTTTACCAAGATAAGTAAAGAAGTCTTGATACCTCTTATCTCTCCATTCTGCCAAACAAAAATACTTAGTATGATCCTGGATATCCTTGCTATTTACAAAAGGCTATCTGGGTTCTGTAAAGAATATATTAAACTTCATTTCTGCAGTGCAATTTTATGGCATTCTCTATTTCTTTACTGAGACCTCTTAAGGAGAGAACATTAATAAAGAAAATTATATTTAACTGCATGGTATGTGTTGGAGCCTGCAAAGAAATATTAGGAAGGAGAGAGGAACACATTGTTGGAGAAAAGAGGATTTTCCAGCCCTTTACTTTGGGTGTGAATTACTTAGTCCTGAGGTATTGAAGGCACCTTTTAGGAAGTGAATGCCTTGTCTTGGACTTCTTGGCCTGGATTTGCAGAGCATTTAAATAGATGCTAATTTAAGAAATACTAAGAAAATTGACCTTGGCACAAATTTTAAGTGAAGCATCTAATTCAGGACAACTGTTTGACAGGTTTTTTTGAGATATCTGAACCAGCTTCTTCAAAATGCCCATCCCAACAGAGCTAAATGGGGGCAGTGGAAGGGACATGTGGATGCCCTTTAGATGACTGGTGCCCCAGTCTGGGGCACCAAAAAATGAGAGACAATATATGTTTGAAAACGAGGATAAAAAAAATTTCCTAAGTCTAGGCAGGCTGAGTGTAAAAACCTACCTTTTTTTGGCCAGGAATTTTTACAGTCTCTATCCCAGAATACAGATCTGTGTTCCAGTTATCTTATTCTCAAGCAGAAGACATTTGGGTTACTCAAAAGCAGAAAACTGATCTCACACTGAACGATTTGAAGAGGGAAATAATGAAGCAATTTCTTTCAGTGGCAGAATTGCCATGGATTTCTGAGTGGGCAGAAACGTGCCTGGCACAAACTCAGCCTTTGTCTGGGTGTTACTGCTTTATTCTGCCATCTCAGGTAACAATCTGCTCCAGCTTCAAATGCCCACAGAGAAGAGTTTTGCAGCAAATTTAAAGGCTGGCTGAGGCTTGGGATGTGATTTCCATTGTTTCAGGCATGCAATCCCACCCCCTGCTTCCAGCACACAAGAACCTACCCAGCGTGGGGTCGTACTCCCAGATGAACCTCTTGGTCAGGAAACGAACCACCAGAGCTGCAGGGACAAAGAGATTTCGGGTGAGAAGGACAAGACATCAGCATCTTTAAAGCTTTCCCTGCAAAGTTTTCTGTGGGAGTGGGCAGGCAGCAGCTCCCCTGAATGTGAGCAGGAGTTGGTGTTGCCTATTGGGGAACTCGAGAATTTGTCGCGGTTTGTGGAGCAAGTCACACTTTGGGATGGGGACAAGAACAAAAAAAAAACAGAAAAAAAACCCCACAAACAAAACCTCCCCGGCAAAAAACCAAACAAAAACAAATAAACAACCAAAAAAACCCCAAACTAAACTAAACAAAAAAAAAAGCCCTGAAACAAACAACAGCAAACAACGACAAAAAAAGCCCCAAAATTTCGTGCAGCATTAGAACCACTACACCAGATGCTTTAGGTATCCTATAACCAGAGTTACAGGAAAAAAGTGTTGGTAGTTTTGGAACCAGCTTGGACACTTCAAAGTGAGGGTTGATCAAAATGATTTTATTCTTGAAAACTTGCCTTTGGATTGTAAACCTTGTAAGGCAAAAATAATTGGCTAAAATAGCTTCCCTCTCTATTTTGGCATGCCTTCCTTGTAACAGTTTAACTTCCATGTTTTACCTACTTGAAGAAAACAGATAAAATATTTTAAACCAATGGTCAACAAATGCTGTTAATTAATTTGCAGAAATTGAAAAAAAGTTTAGATTTTGGAGCACTGGACAGGTAGCTTTTAGTTTCAGCTTATAGGCTAAGAGCTTGCTACTTATGTTCTTGTATTTTATTTCTTCTATCCCTCCAAACCCTTTAAAAACAACTTACATAGACTTCGATTATTCTTGAATTTAAATCTAAGCAGTGCTTTGAATTTCTAGTGATGTAAATGAATCATTTATCACTGCAAACCATCCAAAACCCTTTCTGGAAATGAAGCCAGAGATATCACTGCACCAGCTATGAGTGCAGCAATCACAGCTACAGGAAAATTTTTCCTTGTCATCAGACCCATATGATTGTTTCATTCTTCTTTTGGTTGCAGGTGGACAGGAAAAAGTGACAGCTGAACCCAAATATTTTTCAAATCTGAAGCCAGGAGAATGTCCTACATCCCAGACTTCTATGCCCAACAGCAGGATAAGGCAAGAATCTGAAGAATAATGAATTAAGATTTGCTAATCAGACAATCAGAATATTAGTTTTAAGATTAACTATGCCTCATACATGGAGGGGTAATAAGAAGCTGATCCTAAGGAAATGAGATCACACAAGAAGCAGTTTGATGTTGGTGTTATTTTAAGTTTCTATTTTCCTTAGGAAATTCTGCTTTGATTTATTTTTGCTTAGGCTTTGCTGAAATGCTGTCCTTGTTACTCAGAGTCGATGTGATTCTTAGTCAAAGTAACTTTTCAAGTTATGGTCCTTAACCTGAATGTCATAACAAAACAAGATGACCTCTTTATAGCTGATTTCCCATCCATGGAATGTTGTACCAGGACTTTTTTTCTGCATCTTTTATCATAGTTGGAGTAGTTCAAGCATCTGATTCTTTAATTGCTAGTAATAGATTCTCTCTTGCTATCTTCCTTGTCAAGGACAGATTTAAAAACAGATTTAAAAAATTAAACAGATTTAAAATGACTTAAAGCAGATTTTAAAAATCAAACAGATTTAAAAAAATTATTCTTTGACAGCCATACTCTGAAGGAGAAGCAGTGATGGGCTATCTGTGTGGAAGAGCCTGAGCCTGTGGCTGGAGAAGCTAATGAAGAGAGAGAAAAGGCAGAAGAACCTGTCCAACTGTTTTTATATTTAAACATGGTCCACCTATTTATGATAACCTTGTACTTGTAGATGGAAATTGCTGGAGAGGAGAGGAGAAATGATGGAAAGGACTGGAAATCTGTCAAGCACGACTAAAGTCACAGAGAGCAGCAGCTCTGAAGGAAAAGAGGGAGAAGAGGTGATTTTGGAGGTGCCCAAATGTGAGACATTAGAAGGTGACAAGCCACAACAAGTGGAAGGAGAACTGGGCTGAAGGTGCTGAGATGAGCCTGGGAGGGGAAAGCACAGTTATGTACACAGGATGAAATGGTGCAGGGGTGCAGAGGTGAAGAATTAGAGATCACAGGTGTAAGCTCTGCTGAGAAGGGGGAAGTTAGGCTGTATTTATCCCCAGCACATGCAGATACATCAATAATTGCATGTTTAGGAGGGAGCTAAAGGAAGAAGGGTTGGAGGTGGCTGCCATGCACAGTCAGATGGCAATTAGTCTCTGCTGGGGATTTTGTTAGTGTGAGCACAGAAAGCACAGTGAGCCACTTGCTAAGCTCTGCTGCCAAGAAAGTATTTCTATAAGTACTTTCCTTTTCTTTGGGCCCAGTGAAGGGCAGAAAATACTCCCTTAGCACAAGCCCAGCTCCAGAGCCAGGTGCTCTGTGTCAGTTTTGGGGCTGTGCAGGACTGCTGCCCCCCCAGACTGGCTCTGCTCAGCTTCTGACCCTGGCAATTCCTCCAAAACGCTTCTGCTCTCTTTCATGGCAGTGGTCACAGCACATCCTACAAAGCTTTTCACTTCCACACATTTTTATGAGGCTCAGGATTAGCAGCTAGCAGATGGGGAAAGTGAGAGGCTCTTGATGCAGAGTCTGTTCTGTTTGTAAGTATTGCAGACCATGTTGGACAGGAAATGTCTTCACGTTCCCTCATTAGCAGTGCTTAGCAGATGGGCCCCTGACATCCAGTGCAGGATTCAAACAATGTATGTGACTCTGCTGCCTGGTTTGACTGAAAATAGACCACGAGGGAAGAGCTGGGAAGGGCATCCAGGTGCTTGGGCTGTCAGTCTGGAGCCCAAAGCTGCTGGCCCGTGCCTCCTGCCCCAGCAATGATCCCCTGGAGCAGGGGCATTACTGTGGAGCCACGCTGCTTATGTTGAGATCACTCCCTGCCAGATTACATCACTCTTCTGTAAAATAACTCTGCCAGCAGAAGAATCAGGAGTGGGGACATTAGCAATTCATTAGACTTCGAGCTGGAGCAGTCAGATTTCTGCTGCTGGCTTAAATGATGCTTTAGGCAAAGCAATAAAATTCCTCCATGTCCTCAGTAATGTTGCATAAGAGATGACTCGAGGTGGGCATTACTTCCCTCTCACCTGAGCAAAGGTGTGTGTACTGTTTGAACAGCCACTTTTACTTAGACTTGTTTAATGCTAATAATGAGCCAAAAATAGCCCAACACACTGAAGAAAAACAATCCAAATGCTGGGTTTTGATTCAAAATAACATTGAGACTGGGACTGTCTGAAACACATTATTTTGTGATTAAATTAAGTGACCAATTCCAATATTCATATTAAAATGGCTATTTCCAGTGCCCATCCTCAAATTCATTTTGAAGCAGCCAAGGCTCAGATTGATGCAGCAGTTAACAGGAGTGAATTTCATGGCCCTCCACTGAGACTGGTCCAGGCTCTTCCCTGAGCATTTACAGCTTGTGAAATGCAAGAACTTGCAGGCTTGGAAGGAAAGAATCTCCAGCAAAGCGTGCTGTGGATTCCCACTGTGTTTTTTGGAGACATGACCGTCACCAGAGGGAATTGATGTAACGTCCCAGCAAAGGAAGAACAGACTCATGTCTCTTTCTGCCTTTCCTGACACCCTGGCTTCCAAGTCAGCTGTTTTGTACAGGGTATAAATTAGGGTAGAAGTTGGCACAGGGCTTTCATTCACTCATGTTTAAAACTTTTGCCTTAGAGGTTATTCTTGGAGAAGAATCATGAGTATCTGTCAAATACATTTGCAGTGCAGCTCCACTGAAGATACTCAAGTTATACCAGGATTTAACTTGGCATATAAACCAAGACTGTCAACCACATAATTAATCAATTTCTTTCAAACTTGTGTGGCTGAGTCCCTTACTCAGCTTTAAAAATCCCAATCCATATATTTTGGAATTTTTTTGTGTGTGTGTGTGATATTTTGCATCTTGCTTTAGATCTTTGTTTGGATTTAGTAACATATAAATGCTCTAGCTAAATTTACAATCTGTCTGAATACATATCTTTGTGGATTTGGTCTCGTTCCAGCTAATACAAGCTGAGTTTTTGGGGAAGAAAGGAAACAGGGTTTCATTTGAAAAACAATCCCCTTCCCAAAAAGTTACAGAGTTCAAAGTTATTCTAAGAAAAATAACAGTTTTCCACAGTGAAATAACTGTGTGATGACTCTTTTATGCCATGAGAATTTTCAGCTATAAAAATGCTCTGAAAGCAGTCCCATTATTTAACTTATCAACAAGTCCATTGCTGGTGCCGTGATGATGTGTCATCAGTAAACCACACTTGGCAGGAGACACCAGACTGCTTAAAACCCAAGGTTATAATGATCAAAAGGCACTTTCACAAATGAAGTATTTCACTTTTTCTTAAAATATTTGGGTTTTTTTTTTAGAGAGTTCATCCCCCATTCACCTTCTCAGAGGCCCTTTATGCACTGGAATTTCAGTCCCCCTGGAAGATGGGGTGAGCTCCAGCCTGCAGGATGGCAATCCAGCAATGCTGCTGGATCCTGGCAGGTGAAGTTCTGCCTCCTTAAACAGCTCCACATCCACCTTTGGGAAATAATGGTTTGTTTTAGAGACAAAACCATGAGAATTTAATTTGCTTCTGGACGTGCAGGGGGTGTCTGTGAGTGGGGGAAAGTGTGAAGTCATGATGCAGAGTCCTTTTCTGATCCACCAGGGATGCAGACAGGCACTCACTGCCCCTGCTCTGCATCCGTGGGCCCGAGTTTGACTCAGCTCGGGTGGGATCTCTGGAAATGCAGTGATGTGGGGATGTGAGAGCTGAGTGACACATCCACAGCTCTCTGCCTTTGCCTCCTCTCTTGGTTTGCTCACCGTGGTTCACTTCTGACGCAGCAAACGAGACTTTTCCTACAGCAAATCTAATGGAGCAAAGCAGTGAGAGAAATAAAAGAGAACGCAAAAAAAAAGCTTTTGTTTTACACTGCCTTGCTGTT